TGCAAAGAGCGTTTCCCAAGTGTCAATATTAATATTTATTCACTCTGAGAACTGGAATTTAGCCCAAATCAAGTGAAAGCACAAACTTAACGAGATTTAGATTTTGGTGCATTAATTGGCGACCAATCTGTCACCATCCACTCTGCGAGACTTAGGAAGCCGGTTCAGTTTGAATCGCGGGTGGCTGAAACCTGGAATGGAACTCGGGAGTCTCGGCCGTGTCTCTTTCAGTGTTCTGAGAACGGCCGATTTGACCTCCCTCCCCGTGCCTCCATGGCCACGATGTCTCTGTAATTGTGACATTCCACTTCCCCCGCTCCTGCATGGAAATGTAAGAATTGGCAATGATTACGACGATTGTTGACCAACCCAACAAATTGTGAAAATCAGTCGCGGCCCCCGCGCGACCGTTGTCTTTTTTTTTTTACCAGCAAACATTTTTATTTCGAGGACAGAAACCGCATGTGATGTGTTGCGTCGGCAAGGCCCGCCGTGCCAAATCAGAGACCTTTGATTAAACGCGCCGTGCATGCATTCCAAATGGAACTGCGCATGAAATCGAATTGCTGTCGCACAAAGCGGCGCGCTGCGTGTTTGGAGCAGCGTGTGGTTTTGAAGCAAAGTGAAGAGTGCGTTTGTGAACATGTGACACATTTTAATTTTAGGGACAATCCTTCACGGGTTTTTTTGGGGTTTTTCTGCCGGCCCCTGGGGCTTCATGTCACCATCGCATGACTGCACGGCCTTCTGACCCGAGGATCGGCCTCAACGCGTACACGGGCATATCCCATGGAAGTCTAAAATGTTTGTTTTTGCTTGTAACTTACGGACATACGTTTGACGTACGCTATGACGTATGGACATTGACAAAGAACATGGAGTGAGATGAGCGGGGCGAGGTAGGAGCGTGTGTGAATCAGGAGTAGAGTGAGAAGAGACACAACGCAAGCAGCCGAAACGTCGTGAGAATTGTATTTTATTATGTTTTGTTTTTGTTATTTTATTATTTCCCTTCTACGTGACTTTACCGAAAGAACCAAGAAGATGAATCCCTGCAGTCTCGAAAGCTTTAAATCGAAAGGTACGAAGGAAGTTCAACATTCACACGTACATTGCGAGCTCCTCGCCGTAGCGCTTGATGATGATGCTGCTTGCTTTATTTTTTTGAGCGTGCGACGTGGCTCCGGCTCTGAGAGGGAGTTTGAGCCATGGACGTGGCCTGGAGGAGGCCAAGGGTCACACTTGCCTCACCCGCAGCGTAATTGAACTGGCAGCTTCGATTAGGCGAAATTAAACAAAATCGGGCCACCCCAACTGTTCGACGCTTCAAAAATCGCCGTTTGGTTTAACACAAATGGCAGGACGTTGCTTGCCCGCGTTGCAATGGTTGTCGCACCGGGCTTGCAATCCGAAGGGGGCCCACCGGTTCCATCTCTCGGTGCGGCGGTTGAAACGACGGTGCGCTTTGTGTGGCGTAAGACGGATGCACGACACGTTACCAGTGCGGAAGAGTTCGCGATGCTAGTGGGGGTGGCCCTTCCGCCAGCGGTGGCACGAGCAAGTAATTGCAGGGCTGCGCCTTTTTGCCTTTCAAACGCGTGCGCGGGGGGTGAACATTTTTCACGGTAATTATCCCCAATTTTGGACAAACGCGGCTTAGTTATGGAAGGCGACAATGGTTTGGCGCCTCTGCGAGACTCGACGCACCCCCCCCCCCCTCTCCATCCGCCATCCCGGTCTGGTCAAAGGCCGGTTCGTCCGATCGCGTCTTAACGCCGTGGTATTTCACGAGCATTTCTACCGTTGTGCAATAAAGATTGACAAATCGCCTCTAAATCTTAATTGGTCCTTAATCGCTTTTGGCGTGCGACAGTCCCGGGAAAGAAAATCCACACCTGCACCTTTACCCCCCACACCTTTAAAGTGTCCGACACCTAACGTCTGGTGATCGTGGAACGGCCAATTGGACGGCAGCGAGCGGGGCTACACAGATACGCGAAAATACCTAAAGATGGACAAAGGGAGCTTGCCATTTCTGGGAGTGGGTGGCGGTGGTCCGCCTCGCTCGCAATCTCTTGCCGTGGCGCACAAAACCCTCGGGCGGCAACCATCGCGAAAAGCATCCGAACAATGCACACGGGGGTGTCGTTTTGAGGGGTAATTATCCGCCGGCCGTTTACGAGAATGTGGCTCTGTTGCGGAACGGGCAGCGATGTTGGCGAGCGTGATGGAGTTGTTGATCTTTGGAAAGTCAAGCGGTGGGGACCACAGTGGCAGGAGCTTGGCGAATGGTTGCTCATTTTCAAGGGGGTGGCGCGGTTGGTGGAGGGGGGTGTTAACTCCCTCACCTGGTATGCAGGAGGTCGTGGGTTCGACCCTGACCCCTGTATATTTGGAGTTTGTAAGGGTCTCTCGCCCCATGGTCGTGTAGATTTTAAACCGGGTTTTTCCAGTTTTTTCCAAGTCGCATTTTAGAATCGCTGTGCGTTTTGGAGTATTTTGTCTGCTAGAGATTTCGACGTGATAAGCCACTTCGTCGGGCTATCAATTGTGGCCATGTCGCTTGTGAAATAGAGCTACGTGCCTTCATTGGGCCTTACCTGGTAAAAAAAAAGTTTAAGTAGTACTAATCACATACATGCATTTACCATAAATATGCTAAATTCCTCTTGATATGCAAATTATTTTGTCAAGGCGCCCTTCCCCCCTTCCAACCCAGCTTAAATATACGCTCCAAGCCTGGTGGTGTTTCATTCAGACGCTGTCTCCCCGACAGACCTGGTCTTCACCTGAGGACGGCTGCTTGCGTTGTGGCCGAAACGTCGTGAGAATTGTTTTATTTTTATTATTTTTATTATTTTATTATTTTATTACTTCCCTTCTACGTGACTTTACCGAAAGAACCAAGAAGAGAAAAGTTTAAGTCTTGAGTTCGGCCCACGCAGTGGAGCAGCCCGGGATACACGGGCCTCTGCGCGTTGCCGCAGCATAAGAGCGGCCGTGGGAGACGCGGGGCAACGTTGGTCGACGGCTAACGGCCCGTGGGCACTGCCCACTGAAGCCGCTTGTGTAGCTCCTACGGGCAAATTGATCCCACGGTACAAAAAACAGAGTGCCGTCCCCCCCCCTCTCCCTCTCTAAAAAGCGAGACACATTAAGACGTTCGACTAATAATAATGCGATTGCGGTGTTTGCTTTCGGGGCGAGAGCTTGGTAAAGGCGGTAAAACCCTACTCATTTGGTCATTGGCGGCGCTCCGGCGATTACTTCGGGAGAGGTTACGATCGCACGGTTACGCGCGGCGCATGTGGGGAGTGTTTGTCATGTCAACCTTTGATCCTCCCCTTCCCCCGAGCGAGGGAGAGAAGGGAGCGTGAGGGAGGGAGGGTGGGTGGGAGAGAGTGAGCGAGCGAGCACAAGCTAGGGTGGGGTGAGTGAGTGACTGAGCAACGGAGGGAGGGGATGAGTGAGTAAGGGAGCAAGCAAAGGCAGGAGTAATTGAGGGAGAGGAAAATGAGTGAGTGGGAAAGGGAGCGAGAGGAGTGAGAGACTAAGCGAGCGAGGAGTGAGTGAGCGAGGGAATGACTGAAGGTTGTGAGACGGGGGAAAATCTGCCTTGCCTGTGAACCATGATCTTCATATTCCTCCTACACAAACCTGTGATCTATTTGCGTCAAGGAGGCAGCAACCATTACTCTGTAGCCAGGTGGATGCCAGAGTGCTGCCTTCTGTTGTGGACAAGAGGTCACTTGAGATGACCTCTAAATCAGTTCTTTGGTATCTCCTTCTGCGGGCCGTTGTCGGACACGTGGGGTGGTGAAACTGCTCTACAAACGGAAACTCTTTTTTCCCCCCTCCACGTTTTAGAAACATGCGTTGAGAGTATCTGTCTGCGATCAATTCCCACGTGATAACAAGCCGCTTCGTTGAGCTGTCATTTGCGCCAGCCAGGTCGCTTCCGAGAGCGAGTTGTACAGCTCGGGGGGGGGGGGGGGGGGGGGGGGGGGGGGGGGGGGCGCCGTGCCTGGTGAAATACAGAGTTCTGCTCCGCTGGTTTTTGTTTGGCAAATCCGAGGTGCAACTTTGTAACGAGCAACAATCACACGCGGGGTGGGTGGCCTTCGCCAGAACCCTGCACGGCAGCAGCACCGGCCGGCGTGGGTGCCGGCGGTGGGGGGGGGAGGGTTGCTTCGGACGTAAGACGATGAAATATTTAGTTTTTAAGCTGAGGTAGAGCCCGGACGAGTCACAAAGCCCCCTGCTGTTCACCGTCGTGCAGCCCGTGCGGGCACGAGTTCGTTGGCACGAGCGGACCGCTGTATCCGCCGCCGTGGCGGTGCGTGGGCGGTGTGTGCGTGGTCCCCGGTGTCACTGCTCCGGGTATTGACGCGGCTGCTGGGTTTACACGGCGTCGGTGGCCGACCGTCGGTTAATTGCATCGGGACGTGCGCCAGGATTGGGTTCCTGGCCGCCGCTAATTTAATCGGCCCCGAGCCGGCGTTTACGAGAATTGTGACTTGTGCCGCCTGCTGTGCACGGCACGCCGCCACCGCCACCGCCACCGCCACCGCCACCGCCGTCGCGCCAGGCCAGGTGCAATAGACTGGTTACAGAGAGCAGCCCCCCCCCCACCCGCCTTGCCCTGCCTTGCTGCCTCTTGTCCTTCCCTCGACCTCGCTCCGCTTTTGTTACGGATGTTTTTAATTTCGGAAGATAGAACAGTTGGCCTGAATAGTTTCTCGCTTTACAGCACTTGGCCTGAACAGTCTGAGGGGGGGGGGGGGTGTTCTGGTCTGGCATCCTGGTGAGGTGGCGGGGAGGGCTGGGAAGGAGGGGGGGTGCAAAAATACCTCCTATAACGTAATTCGAACGAGCCCTCTACAATCGCCTCTGTCGCTCGCTCAGCTACGAGCTTGCAGGCCTACTGACCAGCACCTTCGTTGTTGCTGCTGCTGTTGCTGCTGCTGCTGTTGCTGCTGTTGCTGGTGCTGCTGCTGCAGGGGTGCCTCCCCAGCCATGTCGGACAGCGACTACGACTTCCTCATCAAGCTGCTGGCGCTCGGAGACTCGGGCGTGGGCAAGACGAGCCTCCTCTACAACTACACGGACGGCAAGTTCAACAGCAAGTTCGTCACCACCGTGGGCATCGACTTCCGGGAGAAGCGCGTCGTGAGTTGCTGCAAACCCCGCCCGGAGGTTGCTTGACCATACTTCACCGCCACGCCGCCGTGACCAGTCGGCACGGTTCAGGCGGGTTCATCTCGGGTAGGGCCCTGTCGAGCTTAGTCGCTTGCTTTTTTTTTTTCCTTTATATTAAGTTCACTTCGCTTGCGCGCTTATGACCGTGCAAATCTTTCGGTCGTTTTTTAACCCACTTCCCGTGATCCAATGGAGCTGACATTTTGCACACAGACTCGTTGTGCGTGACAATTTCTTTTCTTGAAAAATTTTTTCCAAAATTTTCCACTTTTTAGGAATTTTTTTTTTCATCTTTTATTTAAAATACCAATGTGATAAAAATTAAACTCTTACTCAAGAAAAACAGAAATGAATAATAAAATAAAACCGATGCCACGCATATAAAGGATTTATAGTGAAAAACTTTGTTTTTACGGGTTAATTTTTTCCTTCCCCCGATGTCGACCCCCGGACGATACGGTCGCAAGGACGCTGCATGGGTGGCTTTTACAGGGGCTGCTGGGTAGGACAAACAACGGGCAATTTTAATCAACGAGACTCGTCAATCAAAAGTTATAATCCACTTTTCTTTCTTTTCGTACGGCTGATGTAGATGCAGAGCAACGACTGCAATTTCACATTCGGGTGATCAAGCTCCGATAACCGACTTGAATTATTTATAATGGAAATCTAATGAGCAATCCAATATAACCACATTATGCATGACACTCGGGAGAGGCACTGGCATATGACATTTTAATAGTATTTATTTATAGCAGCTAGAATTACACTTGCATTTCCTCTATTTCAATTAGCAGTCAAAAATGTCATTCTCCAGTTCCAGTCGCGTATCGCCCTACGAGCGGCGTTCACAAGGTTCGCGGTTTTTTTAAGCCACGCGTGTCAGGGGTGTAGGGTAGAGACGCTCGCCCCGTGACCTCCCCCACTCTGCCCTCTCTCTCTCTCTCCCAATGCCAATCGCAAGGTCTACCGCTCCGAAAACGCTGATGGCATCACCGGCCGGGGACAGAGGGTTCACCTGCAGCTGTGGGACACGGCGGGGCAAGAGAGGTACAGTGCAGACGCGAGCTTCACCGCCAAGCATCATCAACGTCATTATCGTTGTCATTGTCATTAGAGGCGTGCGTAGCCACCACCGCCGGACCGTTGCGGCGATGTACATCTGTATTCCAGCACTGTGTGTGGAGGCGGCAGCGAGGGTTTGTGGATCGCATAAATTGTGCCGTGTACCCCGGCTCGCCAGGAGGGTGGTTACAGCAAAATACTGACTCCACCTCGTCCATCTACGTGATGGTGTTTCCCCTTCGCACGCATGGGTTTTCTCCCAGGTCCTCCGACGCAACAATCTATCAATGTCGGTAATTTTGAAATAGTCGGGTTTTTCGCCTCTTCTGGGAAGAATACATCGAGTAGAGTTGCTCGGCAAATGTAACGGCTCTCGAATCACTACTCATGTATGGTACAGCAACGAGCCGTGACGGTTGTAGAAGTAATTATGTATAAATAGATTAACCGACTTCTAAGTGGGGGTAAAACAATACAACGTCATTGGGTAACTTGTAAATAAAATTTAAATTAGATGACGTCAAACATTGATATCGTCAGGAGGGCCGAGCAGCTTGCGACGTCTCGTTTGTAATGAATAACTTCATATATTAAATATAAAAGACGTTGAGGTCTAGTGTACCCCCAGGGACCAGCCCTCCCTCGCCTGGTTTCACTGCCCGGATCCCCACGCCTCCCCAGGCAAGGAATCTAGGCGTGTGACCGGGTTAGGCCTAAGTCGGTGGGGAACCCATCGTGACCGGGAAGTCGTCGCGAGCCGGGATGCGGCGACGCAGCTGAGCCGATGTCCTCGCCGCGCGCAGGTTCCGGAGCCTGACGACTGCGTTCTTTCGCGACGCCATGGGCTTCCTACTCATGTTCGACCTGACGAGTGAGCAGAGCTTCCTCAACGTGCGCAACTGGATGAGTGAGTCGGCGGCGCCGCCATCGCGACACGCACCGGCACGCACCGGCCCACAAACACTCACAACTTCGATCTTTCATAGCCGGCCCGTGGTGGCGCACACCTTTTTTAAATTCGCCGCTTTAGAGGCGAGGGTTTGTAGATGACGCATATTTGCAAAGCTCACAAAGCCTCCCGCTGAGTTGTGTGTTTGTGGCCAGGTTATGGCAGAACAACAAGTGCGTTCAAGGGCAAATCTGTCTGTGTAGAGATTTTGGGGCTCTGCCCCTCTCATACGTGTGGTGGGTTTTCTGCGGGCACTCTGGTCCCCCCCCCCCCCCCCGCTTGAAATGAAGTTGACCAAACATCCCAAAGTGTAGCAGGATCTTCCTGGAAAATAATTTTTGAGATTCAGCGAGGCTTCCTGGGTGATTAAATCACGTGGTTTATTATGATAAATTTGACCCAACGTCATCAATGCAAAACCCTCCTGAAATAAAACTCGTGAGACTCACGGCCCACGTGGGTGTACCTCTTGAATAAGAGCTCCGTGGCGTGGCTCTTGAGTGTACAGGCGGTGCAACTGCACTGGAGGCGACGGTGCTGGAGGGGGCCCAGGCCACTCGGCTGCTGCAAAGAGAGAGGGGAGATCAGAGGAGGGGGGTGGGGGAATTCATCGATGCAATTTCATTCTTTCCTCTTCCTATGCCACATGCTAAGTAAAACATTATTCCTTGCACACAAAGCCCATGGGAGGCACGCTATGTTCCAGTTGCAAGCACGCTGTGTTCCAATTGCTTTATATTCCTTGAAAGAGTGGAGGAAATTTAATTCGATGTGACCTGGGTTCTAGGAATTGTGGATGAAATGTTTGTCAAGTAGCACCCCTGGCCGGGCAGTGATGCACACCGCATGACTTCCTATGCCAGTCAGTTCTACGTTACCCAGGGTAATGAGGGGCAGGAGAAGGGTGGCCCAGATACAACACAACGACGATCAAGGCAGAGCGCCCGTAAATTAGGTTACACAAGCAGATTTGTTGTTTACCTACGCAGAACGGTGGACGTAGAATGTAGAATGTGTCATCTATTTTTTTTTTATTGCTTCTCGTGTCCGGCTTCATGTGGAGTGATCACGGTTACCTAAGCACTGACTCACCGACCCTCGACAAGCTAGTTGTAAAAATGTATTTCATTTTACCCCGCAAACAACGGTTAATCTGCAGCCCTTTGATAAGTGAGTCTTGAGTGTAACGAGTGACGTGGCCTCACGAACTTGTGTTTGTGCTCCACCCCCACCCTCCCCGTTGTGTCGAACAGCCCAGCTTCAGATGCACGCGTACTGCGATAAGCCGGACATCGTACTGTGCGGCAACAAGTCGGACCTGGAGGATCGCCGCGTGGTTTCGCACAAGCAGGCGGAGGACTTTGCCCGCACGCACGAGTACGCATGCACATGCACGCAGACGCACGCAGTAGACGCACACGTGCATAGTTTATTTCGGTCACCGATGGCCGTCGTGCCGTGCTTTATTCCGGGTGTTATAGACTGCTGTAAAGCCCCCCACATGCACGCCGCCCAACCCATCTCAGGGTCAGGTAGCCCCCACCCTGAATTGTAAAATGTCAGCACCGTCCATCGGCGTAACCTTGCTACCCCATTACCCTATGACCCCCCCACCCCCTCCAGCGCCACCTCAGCCCACTGCCATTCCCGACACGTCACCTTCAACGATTATTCGTTGATGTCGGGGCTCAATGTCTCGCTGAAGATTCTTCGGCTCGCTGGTAGCTCGGAGTGGGAGACCCGAAAAACGTAGTAGCCACCACAGTCTCCGTGACCCCCCCCTGACCCCTCACCCTCCCCCCCTTTCTCCCGGGCCCTGGCACAGAATGCCGTACTTCGAGACGAGCGCGGCGACGGGCACTAACGTGTCGAAGGCGGTGGATGCGCTGCTCGACCTCATCATGAAGCGCATGGAGCGCTCCGTCGACAAGTCCTGGATCCCGCCCGGCACCACCGGCTCGGGCGCCAACGGCGGGAGCGGCGGCAAGGTCGCGGTGGTCAAAGACGCCGGCAAGAGCAAGTGCGCCTGCTGATGGCGGCGGCCGCCCCCCGCCCCTCCACCCCCCTCCCCCCCACCCCCAGCGGTGGCGGGGGAGTCGCGGTGAATCCAGCCGCACCGGCACCGCGGTGTTAATTCACGGAAGAGGGGGGTTTGCCGGGGCGGTGGTGGTGGCGGCACACTCCGCTCCCTCTCTCCCCCACCCCCCCCGCCCCCCTCGCCCCCCCCGCCCCCCTCGCCCACCGCCGCGGTTTAACCGACACTCACCGTCTCTCGAGGGTGAGATAGCGCCGCGACCGCCGCCATGGCAGGCGCTGCAGCAGCGGAGCGCGGAGGGGGGGGTGTCGGCGTAGCAGCATCGGCGTCGTTTAACGACGCGGCCTCTCGTCTCGTGGGTGCGTGACCGCCCCCCCCTAATCCGCGTGCGTCCTCCACACCAAACCGGAAGTTTCGTCAAAAGAGACCTCCGAGTGACCACTTGCGGCGCGACGTCGCCGCTGCGTTGCGACCGCGCCGCCATCTCCCCCCGCGGCGTCGCTGACCTTTGTGACCTCCTGCACGGGTAGCCAATGCCGGGTGAAGTTCTCTTTGTCTCGTTAGCGAAGCCTCCGCCGGCACGACGGGGAGCGCAGTGGAGCGCGAGGTGAAAGCCGCTTGTTTTTTTTGCATTCTGCGTCGCGTCTCTCTGTGCAGTCACTCTCTAAAGTATTACCGTCATTGACGAAAGGAAATTTCGGGAGGGCACGACGAGGGGCGTGCTCGAGACGCGTGCCGTTTGACTCGGATTGCTACTTGAGGAGGAGGTGGTGGTGGGGGTAGCGAGTTGCCGTCGGAGAGAATCTGCCAAAAAGTAAATTAATCTACCGATGTGCCTTCAGCGCGGTGTGGTGTGTGGGGGGGTGTTGTTGGGGGGAGGGGTGTGGGGTTGGTAAGGTGGGTGGGGGGTGGCGGTGTGTGTGGTCTTCGCTTGGAGAAACTGGTCCGAGGGTGACGGGGGGGGGGTGAGTTTGTGTACAAAAAAAAAACAGCAATGAAGGCCTAGGGGGTACTCGGCGGAGCCTTTCTTTTCCCCCTGAATATTCCCGCTGGGTACGATCGCACGGTGGGTCCATTCTGCGGATTTTGGGTCAGCGGCTCTGGGACGAAGACGCGGGGAGAAGCTGCCCGGCGTTGCAGGAGGAGGCTTGGGGACACTACAGAGGAGAAAAAAAAGCATCGCACATCGTCCTGCACTGCTCTAAATCAATGTTTCTTCTCGTGGGCCGTGACCCCACCGAGCCAGGCCACGTTCATGCAGCGGGAGGATTTACAGTTGCTAATCGGGGCGTCGTTTCTCGCTGAATATTTTCCGCGTCGCTCGTAGAGGCTGGAATTAGGAACACACGTGACCAATGGTAGCCACCATGGTCGCGGCCGCCCGCCGACTGTGCTGCGGCCGACTTGCGGATAAAATTATTGTCCAGGTCGGCAGTGACCTGGACAGATCCGACTGAAAATTGACCCCGATTTTAACGCAGCTGGAGATTGACAATTTTGTGCCCTGGTTTAGCTTCCCCTATTTGCTGTCCGTTCTATAATATAACCGTCGCAGAAAACAGAACGTTTACGCTGTTGCAGATCGGAAAACCCTCTTAACCCCCCCCCCAGCCCTCTGTCCCTTCCACGATTCCAAAATTCCGCCTCTACCCCCCGAGGCCTTCTGCTCCTTCTGAGTCTGAGTCACTGGCGAGAGCGCCGCCTTGGCCGGCCGCGAGAGGTGAACTTGCGGTGTGGGAGAAGATACCCATGGAGTATCGATACAGTTTGTATTCGTATATATACGTGTGTGTGTGTGTAAACGTGTAAATTACAGCTGCGTCTCTCCCGACGCCGCGTTTGAGTCGTCCCCAAAGCCTCCCGGTGGTGAGTTGAGAAATTACTGCGACGCGCGAGGAGGTGGAGGCCTTCATCGGCCGTCGATCTCCGCGCAGGCCGCCACCGCCGCTGCTCTTGCTTGAGGAGTGCACATTTGTAGATGTTGTGTGCGGCGGCGGCGGTAACAAGAGGGGCTGCACGAGATGACTCCTTTCAAGATGTTGTGTCTGCGCGCGGTTGTTCCCAGCAGGACTCGCCGAAATATTTCCCGTGTCACCAGGCAGAACGAGAGACTAGGTGTCCTGCACCTGATGCAATGCTGGGCGCCCAAATATTTTCTGCCGGTCCCAGACAGAACCGGCTGAAATTTAAGCCACCCCCCCCTCGATTTTCTCGATCGTCAAAGTGAGTCCAGGCTTTTGAAGTCGACTCGTAGACGTCGTGGAATCAAGACCACACCTTTGTCACATTTCCTGGCGGTTTGCGTATTTCTCACTTAACGTTTCCGTATTCGGCTGCCGCTGCAAATGTTGGTGATGCCTTGCGAGCTGCGACCGTCGCCAACGAGAGGTTCCCAACGCAGGCCCCCCCACCACCCGGCCATCAAAGGTGGAGTCGAGGAGGGATCCACATCCCGGACGCTCGCGCTCCGCTTGCCGCCGCTTAGCGGCATCCTCACGGCGAAGGTCGTGAACCTCTCTCGGGCGGCATCCCCAGATTGCACGCGCACGTGTTTTCCTTACAACGCGGCGCTCGTGTGTGTTTTAAAAAAGAACCGGCCTCTGATTACGGGGGTAGCTGATTTGTGGCTACGACAAAGTCAACCCACGGTGGCGCCCAGCGGGTTTATCGACTCTCTGTTGACAGCGACGTTTTCGCCCTAACCCCCGCCTCCCCCCCCCCCCCACACATCTCCAAGCCGTGCCAAATATTTGTACGTGACCAAGAGTAGTTGCGCCACACCGAGAGTGGCGCAAACGGGCGTCGGGGAAACCCGACGGCCGTGAGACATTCCACAGGGAGCGCCGCAGCCCGAATTATTTGTTTACCTTTGTGCACACAAACTGCGCACATACACACACACACGTGCGTGCCCACACGCGCACACGTGTCCCAGGTATCCAGGACACAGATCCGCTTTGGCGAGCCCCAGGCAGGTCCGCGCGGCTGATGTTTGCTGGTGGAATATGGTGGTGGTGGTGTTTGCGGCGTTGGTTGATTAGCCGCGGTGAAGCGTGCCTGCTTCGCGACGCACACAAGTTCCCACTGTGTGTGCGTCTGTGTGTGCGGACAGACGGACGTTGACGCGCGGGGAGAGAGTGGAGCCGCTCTGGCAAATCGACTCGATGTGCTTTGTTGAAACCTTCACAGTTTGCCAGTCACCTTGTAAAGTGTTTAAATACGGGCGTTTGGGTGGTATGTGTGTGTGTTCATATTCATGTCCGTGCCTGGTTGTTATTAAATGCAGATCTGTGTAAATTGTCTCCTCGGCAAGTGTATCCTCTGTGGGGCGTTTCTGACGATGGTGAATGCGCGTGAAATATCATCCGACAGGTCTCGGCTTCAAGTGGCTGGGGAAATTGGGCAGTGATGGAGGAGGTTGTAAATAAGAAATCTCCCATTGGGCGTTTATCAAGGCACTCGTTGATTTAATTAGCCAAACGTCCCAACATAGCAGGACCCTCAAGTAGAAGGCTATTGTGCCTCGGTGAGGCTATAGTGGACAAACAAATAACATTCTTAGGGTGTTAACGCTCTGTGGGAAGATGTGGCCCAAGCGGTTCGCGCACTGCACTTTGAACTCTGACGCCCAGAGACCATCTTTCCACGATGGGTCCTGTAGTGTGCCGTTTGGCCAATTCCGTTTCCAGTTTGTGTTTAACAGAGAACGGTGCGGTGGTGATAGCGGTGCAGTGGTTGGCGCATTTCACTCCGAAACCCGAGTTCGATAACCAACGTTGGCTAACCAGTCCTGGGAACCCAGACTCCCATTTAACCAATCGGCATGGGGAAGTATGGTCGCACAAACGCCACTACCAATACAGCATGGGAAGGCGGTCATCCGGGGGCTGGCCGGTAATCCGGTGGATCGCGCGGACGTTGTGATGAGACTCGCTTCCCGTGGGCCAGGGAAGAAGGCGGTACAGCAAACACGTGGACTCCACCGGGTCCATCTGTACGGGATGCAGTGCCGGATTATCCGAGGAGTAAAAGATCTACACATGTAGTAGCTACACATGTAGTAGCTACACATGTAGTAGCTACACATGTAGTAGCTACACATGTAGTAGCTACACATGTAGTAGCTACACATGTAGTAGCTACGGGCCCCGCACTTTCAAGGGCCCCGCGCTAAATGCTTTCAAGCTATCAATTCCGGTTCAGTGATTCTGCACTTGCTCTATTACCATAGTACTATCCTGCCTTAAACTTTTATGAACGACTGGGTGTTTAAGGTTAGCGATTTGTCATATTACCTGGTTGTATAGCAAATGAAAAAATACAATTGCTTTACTACGCAAGTAAAAAAAAATTGTGTTTTTAGATTCGTGTTTTTTTTTTATGTAGGGCCCCTTTATAACATACTACAGGCCCCGCCACGAGCTTCATCCGGCACTGATGGGATGGCGTTTACCCCCCCTCCCTCTGCACGCGTGGGTGCTCTGCCCGGTGTTCCGGTTCTCATCCTACACAAGCACTCAATAATTGGCGATTACATCATTTAACATATATAGGGGACCTCAGAACTTGGGCAATCGTTAGCCTCGGTTCAGTGTGACTGCCTCCCCCCCCCCCCCGCCCCCTTTGTCTCTCGTTCCTCCCGAATTGTTCTCGCGCTCTCGACGAGAGCAGCGGAGCGGACACTGCGGCGGCGTTTTATAACTTTTGATTACTTTATTATCTTTCTGCCGCTTTTCACCAAAAGCTGTAAATGACGATTCTCGCATTTGGTGAGCGTGTCGTGAATCGTATGCTTTGTTGGCCGGAGACTATGGCATGCCGCGCCTCCGATTTAGCGCGGTTGGATACGTACGGTGCAAAAGAAGTTCAACGGACTCTTTATTCATCCTCTTCGGTTCTTTGGGTAAAGTCACGCCGATAGAACATTAATATATCACGACGTTTCGGTCGCAACACAGGCAACCGTCATCAGGTGAGACGAACGCAGCAGGAGAACTGCTGACGCAGGAGTGACTTTACCGAAAGAACCAAAGAGTATGGGATTGCTGCAATCACGAAAGCTTCAAGTCAAGATTGGACTCTTTATTGCTTGCGAATCTCGGCGTGGCGCGCACGGGTACAAGTTCAATGTCGCGGGGGGGGGGGGCGTAGAAGAAGACGTGGGGCCACTCGGAGACAGGCAGAGCTGTAGGTGGCTTCTCATCTGGAATTGAGCAGAACCCCCCCCCCTCCCCCATTAACTCTGTGTCGCGTTGCCGGATCAATGCGGACAGGGGAATTGCAGGCCGTTCAAAAGACGACATTGGTGATCGTGCTGCAGGGAAAGCGGAGCGGCGTGTGTGTGTATGTATGTGCGTGTGTGTGTGTATGTGTGTGCGTGTGTGTGTATGTATGTGTCTGTGTGTGTTGGCACAGTAGGGGGCACAGGTGGTGCATCAGCCAGTCATCTCGGTCATCTCAGTCAGTCGACCCGTGGCACCTGCTGGGTCTGCCTCGTGACCTGCCAGCGGTGGTTCGACACTTCACGTGGCCTCAAGGTGCACATGGCCTGGCACAAGCGTCGTGGTGACGTCACCGCCACTTAGTGGCGAATGGCGGTTGTTGTTGTCTGTGTGTGGGAGCGGTAGTGTAGCAGTTAGCGCGCTGCGCTATGAACCTGGCGAATCGGGTTCGATTCCCGCTCACGGTCAACACCCAGTGACGATTATCTGAACCGGTCCTGGGCATCCCCTAGGTCGACTCGGCCTCAAATGAGTACCTGGTGCGGTGTGTAAACATCGCCACTGGGGAGACAAAGGCGGTCGGGCGTGGTGCTGGCCACCCACCCCCTCGTGTACCGTTCCGGCCTTCATAGGTGCTCGCTAACAGCACTTGCCCCTTCAGTCTGCTAAGGCTATACGGGGGATCTTTGTCTTTGATTTTTGTGTGTGTCTGTGTGTATCTGTGTATGTTAGTGTGTGTGTGTGCATGTGTGTGTGTCTATGTGTGTGTGTGTGTCTATGTGTGTGTGTGTGTCTATGTGTGTGTGGATGTGTGTGTCTATGTGTGTGTGTTTGTATGGATGTGTGTGCGGAGGAATGACTGTGTCGAGATCGATGTTCGTCTCAAGGAATGGAAGTCGATGCGGCGGTGACCCTCGCGGGGCCGGCGGTGGCGGCGCGTCGATTGCCGGGCTTGAAGAGTGCAGCGGCGGTCCCGGCGACAACGACGATGATGATGATGCGGATCACCCCAGCGAGGGGTTCGCAGTCGTGCTGCGCGTAGCGGGGAGCAACGGTGCAGTGGTTAGCGTGATGACACCCGAGTTCGATTCCCCACTCACGGTCGACACGAGCGACGGGATTCATCTGTTTGCGTTCCTTCTCCCGCACCTCTGATTGGCACGCTTGGCTTACCCACGGTGCGAAAGAGGTTCTACATACCATTGGAACCTCATTTGCCAGTAAAAATATGATAATTGGTTTTTTTACCCTTCTATCTGGCAACAAAACTGACACCTTTTTACAAGGAGTCATGTTTGCATAGACCACAATACCTGCAGTAATAATGCAAAAAAAAACATAACTGATAATGTATGCACTGTCCTTTTGGCGTCATCTGGTCCAACCCATGTGAGGCTCTAAGGAAAGCTGTCTCGGGTGTGGACCAATCAACTTCAAGGACAGTGCACATTATCAGAGTTATGTTTTTTTGTGGTCTATGCAAACATGACTCCTTGTAAAAAGGTGTCAGTTTTGTTGCCAGATAGAAGGGTAAAAAAACAATTATCAGGTTCTACATACATACCTGAGCGTGCGGTTGGGGCAGACGATGTGTCCCGTGCCGTTACGGGTCGACATGCAGGGGGGCCACGGTACTGTCCCATTCACTCGGACCTTCGGAGCTGCACGGGGTGGATACACAGGGGGGGTCAGCTTACCCATAATGCCCTGGGCAGGCTGCTTGGCTCTGACGTCGACCACAGAAAGGATGAAATATCAGACTCTTCTGACTATCTATGGGACCTTTCTTGCCGGTATCAAAACTATGAAAGCTAAAATAAGCTTTAACCTTTCTGGAAATACAACAGGTGTTAAATTGTAAGGCTCGCCGAGCGATATAGCACTTTTTCAGAGGTAACCTGGCCACAATTGAAAGCTCACGAAGTGGCTTATCGTGTGGAAATGTATTGCAGCCAAATACTCGAAACGGCATATTCATTCTAAATGTGAAGGAAGAACCCAGAGAAAAATCCACAATCCACTGCGACCACGGGGAGAACACGCAAACTCCAAATATACATGGCGTCGGGGTTAGAATCGAACGCACGACCTCCTGTATAACAGACGAGGTAGTTAACCATCTGAGCACCACGGCGCCCTATGGAGAACCCTGGCCCCAAGTGCTGCTAAAGGCGATACAAGGGGGTGGTGTGGGTGGTGTGTTGATCTTCGTCTGTGGTGGTGAGAGAGTGTGGGGTGAGAGTGTGGGGCGAGTGCGTGAGTGGCCTTCACACTGCGGGGGGGGGGGGGGGGGGGGCCGAAATGTTAACTTCCTCGCCTGCTATGCATGAGGTCGTGGATTCAATTTCCACCCTGATACCTCTATATTTGGAGTTTGTGTGTTCTCCCACGTGGTGAGAAGCCACTTCATTGAGCTATCATTTGTGGCCAGGTCTCAACTGAAAATGAGTTGAGATAGCTCAGTGGGCCTCACCTGGTAAAATAAAATAAAATGAATAAAATATAAAATATCTGTCATTTTTAGTTTAGACACCTGGAGCCGGCGCCACGCACGCGCGGCCGCACGTGGTCCGGCAGCACCGCCGCCCTCCGAGGCAGTCGGCGTCTCTTGCGCAGCCCGTGGCGCAGTTGCCATGGGGTGGTGGCTGAGGACATTGGCCGGCCTCTGCTGTCACCACTGTCGGTAGAGACACAGCAGGGAGCGGGGTGGGGGGGTTATGAGGATGATGATCCACCAGCCATCTGACGGAAAGGATGGGGAGACGCCGTTGCGATCGATGCGTTTGCTTTGTTTTAATAACCAGGTTCTGAGAAATGCTCTGGGCGGCTTTTCATTTGTTTTTTGGTAGCCGTTGGAATGCATCTCTGGCTCCTGAAGAGGGCTCCAACGTGGGATGAGAAATGTCGCGAATGTGAAAGGGAGCAGCGCACGCCACGGCTACCCCGAAAGAGCGTAGCCTTTAAGAGCACAAACTCATTCATCGTGTCGTGAAAACCTAAAAATAAACTTTTTTTTTCATCATCTTGGTTCTTTCGTAAAGTCACGTCGTTCAGACGCTGTCTTTCCAA